GAATTGTGGTTAATTTTGGAGTACTCTTTGGTCCTTAGGGAGTACTCTTTACACGCATGCATGGAGTAGTCGCGATTTTTGCAGGGAAGCCCCCACTTCACTTTTAGAAGGTGGATACCGCCGCTCACTCGCAGCAGTGCATTATCTCGAAAATTTCTCAATCACATTCGAAAAATATTGAGTGTTGCAGCGCAACGCGATTTTTGGCGAATTTGTGTAAGATTATAAAGTGTTGAACATAAAAACAAAAATACTTGCAATTAATTTAATATCCTGTCATGAAGTATTTAACCCCTACTTGACATGCTGCTGCAATCGCTCTGGAATTTTTCGAGTTTCGACACTTTTCAAAAATATTTGAACTTGCACTTGGCAAGCAGCTACTTAAGATTTATTATAATAGGTGTATTCACGTATTCTTCCAGCAGAAAACTCTCAGCAGCAAAATTCTAATGAAATTTTATTTGTTCTCTCTCAAAGAGAGAAATGTTAGCAAAAGTACACGAACGCAAAACTAGCAAAAACTTGCAAGTTTTTAGTATTGCTGATCGAAATTTTGTTTGCATACAATAGCATTAAACAGAAAACATGAAAATATGAATTAAAAGTTTTCCTAAAACAATTTTCTAATCAAACATGAGTAAAGGAGTATTTGCTTTCTTCCGATCCATTTGCAATTCTAATAAAATATTTTAAACTTAAAAATTATAATAATAAATCTAAATCTAAATCTAAATTTGAAATAAATTTCCATACTAGGAGTGTTCGCTATGTACAAAATTTGTACAAGTTGGTACTAATTGTTACCAAATCGTGTTCATTTAGTCAAAAACCCAGTAAAACTTGGAGGGCTGAAAAAGCTGTATTCGTAATCGGAACGCACTCGACACCACTGTCGACGTAGGAAATCCGACAGTGACTTCCACAAAGAAATTGAAGCGTATGTTGAAGAAAGTCAGAATAAGAAGAAATATACGTATAGGTCCTGTTTTGGTTTCTACCTGAAATTATTTAAAAAGATTATTATGCTCGAAATGCAACGATGGACGCCAGCTGGCAGTGAAGCTTGCAAATGTTTGCCATTTCCTGTTCGCGCAAAACTTAGTAAGCTTCTCTCTTTGGGACAGTAAGGTACCTTACTCTCTGAATTTTGTTACTGGCTAATTCTTACTGGCAGTTGTTTAGCGAACACTCCTATTTTCATAAATTGAAAGCAGATGACTTTGATCAGCTGGTTTTCATGCTGGCAAAAATTTTTCCAGCAGAAATTAGCAGGCTTTCATCAGAATGAAATGCCAATTTGGTCTCTCAATTTCCCCTACTTTGCTGGATTTTTGTGTACGTGAACATGAAAATCCGATAGTTTTTTATAGTTATCAAAAACTATCAATACCCGAATAAACCTAATGCCACGTTTACACTACAGTATTTAACTTGTACCTGTAGTCACAAATTCAAAAATATTGAATTAAATGTGAAAGGACTCATGTAGCAGCGGCAATGTGTATAACATTTTGGTAATTCTCTAGGGTGGGGTAACAACCCCTAAAAAAGGTGCGGAAAAGTCGGGAGGGGTGCCAAACGACGCGTTTCGGCCCCCCTAATAACAATCCGGAGGGGGGGGGGGGAACTAATATT